GAGTCCACTAAAACATATGGTCAGCATCCAATGTCGAAAACTTACAGAGCTATTTATTTTAGGGATTTATTTACCGCTACAAGGCGAAAGGTAACACTTCTAGGACATTCTCTTGTCGACAGATCACGAATCATTTAAGTGTAAATACCGAAAAATCAGAAATATATGTCTAAAGACCATAGTCGTATCACCCACAGAAGACAGTTGGTATACGATAGCTTTACCTGCCCCAAACGATTGTTCTCGTACATCAAACGAAGTACAGAATGTAGTGATGGTATTCAGTCATTACAGTCGCGCGAACACTCGGATAAACTAGTTGAATCAGATCTGGCCCAGACTGAGACTTTATGAAACTATTTCAGCGGAGTCTACTCTACGAGTAGTGTTAACGATACCTGTCATAACCACACCACTGAGACGCTAGCTACAGGATCTGTACGTATGACTAAGGAAGCAGTTCTCTAATTGATCATTAACCTCAGACCTAATGAGATACCGATTCCTGATAGTTTATAACCACGACCGCTGCCATCTCTCGCAGACATGGTTTCAGGGCCGCTCATGATGCTCTTCAACACGTCCCTTTCTTAAACTCAATTCTCTAAGGATTGGAAAGGTGCTTCAGTTAGTCCTATGTTTAAAGATGTTCGGGGCAATGCATTTGGCAAGGCTTACTCAAACAATCAGTCTCAACCTCATCAGTAAACATTTTCAAAAAGAGACCGAACCTTCATTGGGAATCGAATTGTAAGGAGTAATTCAAGTTTGCCAACCTGCTATGCTTCTTACTGAAACTGAAGCTGAACCGCGCTATTCGAATCTGGCGCTATGTCGGTCGGTCAGTCCGGGACGGAGTTGTCTTTTGGTGTTATTAAAGTGGGTTTGCGGTTGCATCGCATTAATTGATATTAGGATATTCTAGAAGACCCGTCAGGCTTTTCTCTAGCTAAACTGAAGGCAACTGCAGAGGCTATTGAACTAAAGTTAAAATTTAATCTTGACTAACAAAAATTCAGAGATAAAAAAAGTTTGATTGATGTTGCTTTACGGGGACGTATGCTGTGTCTACTTGCCTCAGACTCCATGGACGATGTGAAAACGCTTCTAAAAATGGGTGTTGCGGCGGCCTTAGCGAGTAAAATCTTCTTCCAGCTCTTAGTCTGTCTAATAGATTTGTGCTCTGCGCCGACTCCATTTTTGTTATTCGCGGATGTTTTTAACACCAAACCAATATCGCTTTGTGAAGAAATGTTTGGATTTATGGAGGAAACAATCATCACTTTGAAGGATGTATGTTTGACGTCTTCTCATGGTTGTTGTAGGTACCCTTATTTGCTTCAGGAAGAAATACATTGTTAAGAATGTGTAATGGTTCGTTTGATCACTTTTCCTCGAAATATATCTGTTCAATGTAGACCTACTTAGACGCCTGTCAAAGTCACAGAATACTGTTTTTTGCGGCCAAATTCAACTCTTCTTAACGCGTTTATTTCCATTAGATGAAAAGTCTGGACTAAATTTTATGAGCAACTTTAACTCAGAAAAAGATGTGCTGTACAACAAAAATCCCGACCCAAGTGCTTTCAAGCATCAGGTTTCTCACGATCATACATCTGATGATTTGGAAGAGGGGGAAATGACTGATTCATCTACTCCCTTAGAAGTGGATGCCGGTCTTTATGTCAAATTTTGGTCTCTTCAGGAGTTCTTTAAGTCTCCGGCTTTGTGTTACGAGAAAGCTAAGTGGATGCGTTTCACAAGTAGCACAGACACGGTGTTGGATGTGTTTTCGAGTATTAAACTAATGGCAATAGAAGAAGGCGATATCTGCTCTCAGAGTAGCAGCGGAACGTTTTCCAAGTACCTTACAAGCGAGAAAGTAAGTGTTCTATGCATATAATGCACTGTATCAGTAAGCTAGTAACAAAGACTTTGTTTCACAGTTACTACTTTTTAATGATTGTATAACATTTTCTCGCAAATAAATGAGATGTATTATTTCGTTAATATAGTGCAGCTTCCAAAATTTAAAAACGTTGAGTGCAAAATTGAGCATCTGAACTCAGATTATCTCAACGACAATGAATTCTAAACGTCTTTTATTTTTTGTACTTACTAGATACTAGACTTGAGAAAGATTCAATAAATATTTCTTACGCTCCTGGTCATCGTTCTCACCGTAACTAACAAACTATTAGTTTGTTATCAGATGGTACCAGTGGGTTAGTACGTTTTCATCATGAATCGTTGATTAGTCTATCAGATCTTGTTGGTTGTCTTGAAAGTCTTGATCGAGTACATAGGTCTCAGCTACAACCAAGCTCAATATAGAGATGTCCCAGAAATAGCTCCTGAAAACATGTATGGAATGTTTTGTTATTCTTGAAAACAACATAGCCACACTAGCCTGATCAGTGATATATTATTAGTTTATGTCACATAGGTATCTTCAATACTTATGTAGTGTCAGTCATTATTTTAAGCCCATATATCTTATATTCTAGTTTTCGGACATTCCATTTTATTCATTCTACTTGAGTCATATTTTGACCTTGTCAATTATTCACTTATCAGTCTTGACTGTTTTTATATATGAGCGTATATATGTGTACACTTCATATCCCATGACTCATCACATGTTTGTAGTTTATTTTTGTCTGACTATAAATACTGAGTAACGCTTGATTAAAATGGAGTTGGCTTCCCAGCCATCTTCCATACGTGTCGTTTTGCTTTGCTGTGCTTCATTCACTTCATATACAAAATATATGTATTCACAAATCAATTCTCGTTATTCGACTTATTTAATTCCGTTATTGGCTAACGCGATTAAGTCGACGATTATATACGAGAATAGGTGATAACAAACATTTATACGATCAAAATGGAGTCAGATCAAACGGGCCACTAAACTTACAAAGCTCTCCGTTACAGACCGTAGGGTTTTTTGAAGAGCGATCGAAACTTCTATAGCGTTCATATCGAAGAGCTATGTCATACAGTACGTGAATTCGACTAATCCATGTTAATGTATCATTTCCATCTGAAATCGATGCGATATTGGAAATATTTGCGTAGTCAGTCGCAGTGACACAAATGTAATTTCTTGCTGTCCACCCCTAGATCTTGATATGAAAAGTCATCCTGTACTCGCCGCTCTGGTGCATTGTGACGAAATCTCCCGATGCACACTTATTTCTAGTCCTTACGTTGCTAATGATATTGTCTAATGATCACTTACCTGCTTTTTGTCTGGTCAGTAAGCAGTGAGTTTATATTTTATGCTGTTCGTGACCAATTCATTCTGACGGTGTCTGAACTTCCGTAATAATTTTATTTATTCTAGCTGCTGGATTTGCAACTTATGGATCCTAGTTTCCGGCGGTATATACTTGTTCAGCTACTAATTCTGTTTCAATATTTAACAACTACAGTTAAATTTAAAACGTAAGTCGAATAGTTTTCCTTCTCTTTTCCACGGTGTTTTGTGACATCCTTCAGTTTCTTAATCAATTTTCAATGCTATATTAAAAATTCCCATATTGTAAATCTAAACACTCAGTTAGTCAGCTACAACGTAGGACCAGGAACATATATGCGTCGGTCCAAGTTCCCACACCTCACTAGTACAACAAGATGGACAAATTCATAGTAGTCAACTCGGTGGTAGTAATGTATTAAAAAAACTGTATAAGGATATAGTACAGGAAGAAAGAATTAGTTCGTAGAAAAGAGCCTACACAAGGTTTGTATACTTCTAAGGTACACTTTTCAATGACAGACATTGTCATAGAACCTCTTGATCTACAGAGTCAAGAAAAATTATCATTGTTGGACGCCGATAAGCATGCCTGTGTTCTAAAATCTGACGAATGGTGAATATGTGATCGATACAGCCACGATCATGTCTGAAGCCAGCCTGATTTCCTCGTGTTTGCAGTTCACGAGTCTGATAATTATTGAGCCTTATATTTTAGACACTATACTAGTCAAACTAATCCCCCTATAGTTACCATGGCATGATTTTAAGCCTTTCTTATACATTGGGACAATCAGTGGTTGTGATCAGTCAGATGGGACTACGTCCAACTCCCAGATTTGAGCTTAAATATTAGTCAAACTAATCGTTGAAATTGAACCACCATACTTAAAGACCTCTGAAGCCAATCCATCTGGACCAGCTGCTCTTCCTCGTTTTAGATTAGCTATAGCTTTTTGAACTTCAAATAGAATGGGGAACCTACTTCAATGTTCCATTCACACTGTCTGGAAATGGTGGGTAGTTACAGAGTAGCTGAACTGCTCCTTAAAATTTTCCGCCCATCGTTCTAAACGTCTGGGCTGCGGGCGCAGATAAGTGTCGTCTTTTTCCAAGATAGTTTCACTTACACTTGACTTCTTTTGTTAGTATGAAAATCTGTCTCGTGTTACCTACAGCCGTTGTTTTTTCCATCTCTTTCGCTTTCATTGTCCACCACTGCTCACTGTCATTCCTTAGACTTTTGGTTAATCTAGATCCGACTTGTTTTCGTTCTTCATTGTGGTCATAGCCTGATGAGATGAGTTTACGAGAATCTATCAGTGGAATAGACTTAGTGGAAATCCACTGGTTTTTCGTGACCCTTTGATTTGAATCACTAATAGATGTGTCTGCTGTTTCCACAGCTGTTCGTATATCTTTCCAAGTAACATTTGGGTCAGCCTTGTTTTCAGAAGTACCTAGGTGTGACCTCAGTTGTTCCGTTAATCTACTTGTAAATCTAAACAACACGTAAATAGATAATATTGTTTGCAATTACATCATCAGGCTTGACTGTTATGTAGTACTATATATATGCATATATAAATATACTAGACCGACCAAGTCAGTGATAACATTGAGAGAGGTCATGTAAATAAACGCAACAATTAAAGATAAGAAATTGGTAGTGAATGGCGTACTATTTGCGATAAGAATATAAAAAGCTTTAATAAATATCTCACAATACAAAGTCAAAGACGTTGAAATAAGATTAATCAAAAATTACTGAGATTACGTGATGAGAATTGTCCAAATAATTCAGTGAATCAACCAGTTTCAACATAGAACCTGGTACGTATGTGCATCAGTTCAAGCTGTCATACTTTATTACACAGAGATGAAATTGTCAAGCCGAATCCTAGAGTAGTAGAGTTATTAGCAGTATCAGTGGTTATAGAGAAGATTAGGCATCGAAGATACGATTCAAGAAAATATGAATTAGTAAAATAAAAACCCTGTTCACGTTTACTGTAATTCTTTGGTACACCTTTTAATGTCAAACATTGCCGCAGAACCTCACTATCGACCGAGTCGAACTCCGCCTTTGTGTCGATGAATAGAACTGTCGTCAAACGCCGAAAAGTTTGTCTATATTCCAGAAATTGCCTAAGGTGAATATTTGGTCTGTACATCTACGTTCAGGTCTAAAACCAGCCTGGTTTTCTCGGGTCCTCTCTTCATGGGTTCTAGTTAGACGTTAAAATATTATTGAGGTTAGCATTTTATACACCATATTAGGTAAACTGATTCTTCTGTGATTGTAAAAAAGGATTTTTGTCCTTTATAAACTGGGACGATCAGCGACCGTGACCAATCAAACGGGATCATGTCCAGTTCCCAGATTTTGGTTGAGATTTCAGTTAATCTAACTGTTAAAACTGGGCCAGTGTCTCTAAAAGCCTCAGAGGTCAGTCCATCAGACCTTGCTGCTCTCTCTCGCTTTAGATTACTTATGGCCTTTTCAAACTCGCTAAGAGTTGGAAGACTTACGTTAATTTGCCACACAAGTTGCTTGGAGATAATGAGTAACTCAAGTGTGGCTGAAAACCAGTTGAAATGTTTCCTAAAGTGTTCTACTTATCGGTCTGATTTTCTGGAGTGTGAAAGGTAACCCTATTTTTTCCGAGGTGGGTCTTTGTAAAGTATATCAATTTATCTTTGTCCGTTGTTCTACATAGAGATCGCTACTTTAAGTGATTTTAGTTGTTTTACAAAAACGCTTTCCAGATATTGAATGGTTTCCTGGAACGGCGAAAATTTTCTTTAACGTTGTTTTTCATATGTATTATGTCTTGTGAGTTTGTTTTCATCTAAATGGTGTACGGGGTTCCTCAATTAAGATCGTTAGGTTTGTTTTCATCCCGAGTATTTCAGTAAATTTGTTATCTACCAACTAAAGTTGTCTTATCTTTACAACAGTCCTCCCTGGTTTATGTAATTGGCTAGTGTCAATAGAATAGGCTTATGAGTGTCCTAACTTATTTTTCGTTTCAAAATCCAAGAAAACTTTTCCCACAGTCTAGATGCTTGATTTTTGGTATCACGACCCGTTACTATGATCGATTCTTTTGTTTGTTATGCTTTATTTCATAAGTATTTTATTTCTTGTTAGTTTAATTCACTATAAAAGGCATCCTTTATAATAGAATACACTCTGATATCAGGTTTGGGTAATGTCTAGTTCGTATCTTAGTAATAAGTAACGGTAAAAAACATTTACAAAGCCGTAACTCGTTTGCGATTGTGTTCTAGTTGATGTCCATTGTTCACAGAAATGTATTTCTTAATGATCAATCATTAGTTGTCAGGATTTTTTTTCACTTATTAGGAATGGAAACAATTTTTATGAGTTTATCAAGCTGTTTGGTTACGATTTGACAATATGCTAGCGCCAGTTTTTAGATGGACATTTTCCCCAGCATAGAGTTGGTATAGTGTAAAATGAATTGTCAGTCGAAATCATATTAAACTCCTTTGCCAATTCATTTTTGTCCCTGAAAGGGTAACTTTGAAATCGTTACGCTACTGGCTGTTCTAAAGCGAACAATCGCTAAGGTCGGTTTTGAACAAACTTTCTTGTTATTATACATTTGTTTACCTTCAGTAAGCATTTAATGTAATCATTCAGTAGCTGGTATTTTTCCCGTTTCCCCTAGAATTGACCAAGTACTTAGTGAGGATCAGCGCGCTTGGGTTAATCAAAGACATGAAGTAGTGTTACGACTGTTATCCTCTAATAGTCCAAACAATTCTTCGAGTGGTACGTTTGTTTCTACAGTAGAACGCATTCTGGAACGTGAAAGTTATTGGAATAAATGGAAGAACGATGGATGCCCTTCATTCGTACGAAATCCTGAAAAATCTAGGTTATCTGTTAGGCAAGTTCTACTTTTTGCGAGAAGTTATTTTATTTGGGAAAGACGTTTGACTTATGGTAACTTCATGTTTGTTCTTGTAGGAAAAGGCATATAAACCCTTTAGTTACTCGTACTGGTCAGAAAGTTTATCGTTTTGGGAATCGAGAGCTAGATAAATTATGGAATGTATGTCCGGATAATTTAGCTGCTTGTCGGGACAAACGGCGAGTTTTCAATCCGGATCTTCATTCCTATTTTCAAGATGCTATCATGGAAATGGACCCAGCGGAAAAAGTCGAAGAGGAATACAAGTAATTTTTTCATGATATATCCTCAGTTTTTGAATTGATAATCTATCCTTCCTTATTTATACTTTATGTATTTAAATATTTCACGGTTATTTACACCAACAAAGCGGTGTTGGACTTGGTGGCAGTTTAATTTAGAAGAGGCATCAAAGAGAAGTTAATAAATTATGAGAATAAAAACCAATAATAGTAATTATTGGTAGTAAAGCACTATTTTATTTATTTATTTGGACACATGAATATTGGTACAAGAGAGCGCCAATATATATGCGCCACACAAAACAATGAAAATTCGAGAGGAATACAAAGAAAGAAAAAAAAGCTAAGGAGCGCAACAAAAAAAGAGAGAACAATAACGAAGAGATTGGTGTAAGGTAATGTGCTAGTAATCAGGGAACGCAAAGGTACAATCGGAAGAAATCTTTCAGGTAAGGGAGACACAACCACTTTTTATGAAGAAAGTAAAAGAAGGTTACAGCAGGATCGCCACTGGCTTCTATTCTGAGCCATATCTGATAACGTCTCTAGCCACTGTGTAGCACCATCTCTCAGACCCCAACCAGGGAGTCGTGAAGGACCAACACAAGCCAGTCCTTTGCAGCTTTCTTTCATGCCACGACACCATGTCATGCACTGACCACCTCTCCGCTTCTTCCAACCAGTCCCAGAGTCGGCAAATAATGCACGACGTGGAATTCTCTGGGACGACATTCGGAGAACATGTCCAAGCCACCGAAGTCGGTGTTTCAAGATGGTGACACCAATTGAATTATCATCTCTGTGCCCGAACACACGATGCCGAACCTCTGCATTACTGACATGGTGTTGCCACTGAATGTCAGCAATCCTTCGGAGACAGCGATGATCGAACACAGAGAGTCGTCTAACGTCCTCAACTCGGAGAGGCCAGGTTTCACAAGCATAGAGCAAAACTGCTCTCACCGACGCGTTGTAGATCCGACCTTTTACAGCCAGACTAACATCACGAAGGCGCCAAAGGTGGCCCAGATTGGCATAAGCCGCTCTGGCTTTCACTATACGTGCATTGATCTCATCACTCACACCCCCACCAGCACTTATGCAGCTACCCAGATACACGAACTTCTCGACTACGTCTATCTGCTCACCATCCAGGGTGAGTACAGGATTGGAATCCTGCCAGTCTTGTAGAAGTACTTTGCACTTCGAAGGTGCAAAGCACATACCATACCTACGGACACTGATTGCCAACTGATTAAGTGCGGATTGCATGCCTTGGGCATTATCGCACAGTAAGACAATATCGTCCGCATACTCAAGGTCGAGAAGTCTTTCTCCAGGCAACAGATCCACACCACCATTACTTACATTCATCAGAGCTGTTTCCAGAATGTCATCGATGGCAAAGTTGAAGAGGAATGGTGAGATTGGGCAACCCTGCCTAACCCCACTGCTCGAATGGAACAATGGAGAGAGGTGGTTGTATGCCCTCACTCTGCCTGAGGTGTTTTTATATAGGGCTTTTAGGATGTTAATAAACTTCTCAGGCACACCCTTCTTCAATAGACAATCCCAGAGAACAGTCCTGTCCAACGAATCGAAGGCAGCCCTGATGTCAAGAAACACTACGATTGTTGGCCTTTGATAAGTATGGCGGTGTTCTAACATTTGGCGGAGGGTGAAGATATGATCAATACATCCTCGACCAGAACGAAACCCAGCCTGCTCCTCGCGAGTCAATCTTTCTCGGGTTTTGAACAACCTACGAAGTATGACGGAAGCCAATAGCTTGGACGCAATCGGAAGTAGACTTATCCCCCGATAGTTGTTACAGGAACGACGTGAACCCTTTTTAAAGATAGGGACAACTATCGACTCATTCCATGACGTTGGTACACTCTCTAGTTCCCAAACCTTTGTAAACAACGTCGTCAATTCCTTAGTCAAAAAGTCACCACCATCTTTAAAAAGAGCCGGAGGTAAGTCATCTGGGCCAGGTGATTTGTAACGCTTCAAGAGTTGGAGTTCCTTGCGGACTTCCTCCTCGTTTGGTGGATCAGTCGTCACCGGCCATGGAGGGCAGGACAGTCTGACCGATGTTGCCGGAGCAGCAGGCCAGTTGAACTGCCCTTCGAAAAATTCTGCCCATCGTCCAAGACGTCGATGGATGTTAGTGATTGGCATCCCATCATCCTCGCAGATTGTTTCACTCACACCAGACTTCTTGCTGCCAGTGGCTCGGATGAGCTGGAAGAGCTTCCGGTAGTTACCAGATGCAGCTGCTGCTTCCAGCTCATTAGCACGCATCGACCACCAGGCTTCTCGGTCCTTACGCAAGCTTTGCCCAATTTCCTTACGTAACATCCTTCGTTTATGGTCAAACTCACGGTCACCCGGAGTAGACCGACGGGCTTCAATGAGTTGTAAGGAACCAGAAGAAACCCAGTGCTTAAAAGCGGGACGTTTCGCAAACCCACAACTGACTGTTCCCGCCATTTTCATGGCGTCATGCAATTGCAACCAATGCTCATCTATACTTTTCGGTGGAGTGGTAGCTAGCCTAGAGGCTAGCTCGGTTCGATACTTACTTGCAACAGAAGTTGCAACCAGCTTGCTAACATCAATCCGTTGGTGGTGGTCACTTCGTTGTCCACTGAAAAGTAAGGCAAGATTGGCGCAGACCAAGGCATGGTCAGAGTCCAGATAGGTACTCCAAAAGGAGCGGCAGTCTTTTACACAACCACGCCAGCGGTAGCTGATCGCGATGTGATCAATCTGAGTCCAGGCTTGAGATGCAGAGGGAGGACGCCAGGTGGCACATCGGCGATGACTGTGCCGAAAGTTAGTGCTAGCCAGAAACAGGTTGTGGTCTGTGCACAGTTGCAGTAGACGGTCCCCGTTATCTGACCTGCGACCAACGAGTCCCCATCGGCCACCTAAACGACTCTCTTCTGTGCCTAGACGCCCGACCTGAGCATTCAAGTCTCCGGCTAGTACTACAATATCTGTCGAACGCACTTTCTGG